AAATGCTGTGAACAAAGAACAGCTAACAGGCACGATTGCAAGGATATCGTGTACTGTTACAGGTTTGACAGAGGAGCTTGGTGTCACAAAATGGACCACTTCTGAGGATGTTGATGTGACGAGTCTAGAAGGCTACACCGTTGTTCCGGGATCGTTGGAAGTAGATACTCAAACTACTACTCTGACTATTCCTGCTGATAAGAACAACAATGATGCAACTTACTGGTGTGTTATCACTTCCACTGAACATGGTTTAACAGATCAGAAAACTGAAGTCAGTTCCAAAGTCTTTAGTAAGTATTGTAACTTAAAGTTGTATGTAATGTATATCCTGAAGGTAACGTTTCATTAATATTTTAACTTGTAAAAGTGTAGTGTTTAACTGGTGTAAATGTGTGTTTGTACGAATAATTATATACGTATAATAAAGATAATATCCTCTAACATGAACCAAACAATTCAGCTGTCACCTCAACACCCAAGTCTATAACGACCGCTGTAGATCAGACGTTGACTTGCAATATCGGAGGTCTAGACAATAGTGGATCCCCTGCTACTGTAACTTGGAAGGATAGTGCTGGACAAGACGTTATAAGAACGGAAACCACCAACTATGGTTGGAACCAAGGGACGGTAGATAGCAGCGGAAATCAAGCAGCAGAACTGACTATCAAAACTGCAAAGCTGGATGGTTTTAGTAGTCCATCATCAGTCACCTACAAGCAGGGACAAAAGGATTTCGCGGCATGTACGAAATCGCGACATTTCCCATTCTCCGCGACAAATTTTATGTATAGTTTAATGTATAGCCTGTTAAATTTCGCGGTATCGCGAAATTTGGCCAAAATAATCGCGAAATCCTTTTGTCCCTGCCTACAAGTGCTCAGCCAAATCTTCCCAATACACAGATTCTCCTGCATCTGACTACGCAGATGTTGTAGCTAACATTCTAAAATTGGGTGAGTATAGAATATGTCGTACTGTTAATCAAGGAAGTTCAAAGATTGTCGGACACTCAGTGGTAAGTTATTCTAACTAAATATTAATTTCAGAGGTAAATGCTGTGAACAAAGAACAGCTAACAGGCACGATTGCAAGGATATCGTGTACTGTTACAGGTTTGACAGAGGAGCTTGGTGTCACAAAATGGACCACTTCTGAGGATGTTGATGTGACGAGTCTAGAAGGCTACACCGTTGTTCCGGGATGGTTGGAAGTAGATACTCAAACTACTACTCTGACTATTCCTGCTGATAAGAACAACAATGATGCAACTTACTGGTGTGTTATCACTTCCACTGAACATGGTTTAACAGATCAGAAAACTGAAGTCAGTTCCAAAGTCTTTAGTAAGTATTGTAACTTAAAGTTGTATGTAATGTATATCCTGAAGGTAACGTTTTATTAATATTTAAACTTGTAAAAGTGTAGTCCTTGAGTGGTGTAAATGTGTGTTTGTACAAATAATTACATACGTATAATAAAGATAATATCCTCTAACATGAACCAAACAATTCAGCTGTCACCTCAACACCCAAGTCTATAACGACCGCTGTAGATCAGACGTTGACTTGCAATATCGGAGGTCTAGACAATAGTGGATCCCCTGCTACTGTAACTTGGAAGGATAGTGCTGGACAAGAAGTTGTAAGACCGGATACCACCAACTATGGTTGGAACCAAGGGACGGTAGATAGCAGCGGAAATCAGGCAGCAGAACTGACTATCAAAACTGCAAAGCTGGATGGTTTTAGTAGTCCATCATCATTCACCTACAAGTGCTCAGTCAAATCTTCCCAATACACAGATTCTCCTGCATCTGACTACGTAGATGTTGTAGCTAATATTCTAAAATTGGGTGAGTTTAGAATATGTCATACTGTTAATCAAGGAAGTTCAAAGATTGTCGGACACTCAGTGGTAAGTTATTCTAACTAAATATTAATTTCAGAGGTAAATGCTGTGAACAAAGAACAGCTAACAGGCACGATTGCAAGGATATCGTGTACTGTTACAGGTTTGACAGAGGAGCTTGGTGTCACAAAATGGACCACTTCTGAGGATGTTGATGTGACGAGTCTAGAAGGCTACACCGTTGTTCCGGGATCGTTGGAAGTAGATACTCAAACTACTACTCTGACTATTCCTGCTGATAAGAACAACAATGATGCAACTTACTGGTGTGTTATCACTTCCACTGAACATGGTTTAACAGATCAGAAAACTGAAGTCAGTTCCAAAGTCTTTAGTAAGTATTGTAACTTAAAGTTGTATGTAATGTATATCCTGAAGGTAACGTTTCATTAATATTTTAACTTGTAAAAGTGTAGTGTTTAACTGGTGTAAATGTGTGTTTGTACGAATAATTATATACGTATAATAAAGATAATATCCTCTAACATGAACCAAACAATTCAGCTGTCACCTCAACACCCAAGTCTATAACGACCGCTGTAGATCAGACGTTGACTTGCAATATCGGAGGTCTAGACAATAGTGGATCCCCTGCTACTGTAACTTGGAAGGATAGTGCTGGACAAGACGTTATAAGAACGGAAACCACCAACTATGGTTGGAACCAAGGGACGGTAGATAGCAGCGGAAATCAAGCAGCAGAACTGACTATCAAAACTGCAAAGCTGGATGGTTTTAGTAGTCCATCATCAGTCACCTACAAGTGCTCAGCCAAATCTTCCCAATACACAGATTCTCCTGCATCTGACTACGCAGATGTTGTAGCTAACATTCTAAAATTGGGTGAGTATAGAATATGTCGTACTGTTAATCAAGGAAGTTCAAAGATTGTCGGACACTCAGTGGTAAGTTATTCTAACTAAATATTAATTTCAGAGGTAAATGCTGTGAACAAAGAACAGCTAACAGGCACGATTGCAAGGATATCGTGTACTGTTACGGGTTTGACAGAGGAGCTTGGTGTCACAAAATGGACCACTTCTGAGGATGTTGATGTGACGAGTCTAGAAGGCTACACCGTTGTTCCGGGATGGTTGGAAGTAGATACTCAAACTACTACTCTGACTATTCCTGCTGATAAGAACAACAATGATGCAACTTACTGGTGTGTTATCACTTCCACTGAACATGGTTTAACAGATCAGAAAACTGAAGTCAGTTCCAAAGTCTTTAGTAAGTATTGTAACTTAAAGTTGTATGTAATGTATATCCTGAAGGTAACGTTTTATTAATATTTAAACTTGTAAAAGTGTAGTCCTTGAGTGGTGTAAATGTGTGTTTGTACAAATAATTACATACGTATAATAAAGATAATATCCTCTAACATGAACCAAACAATTCAGCTGTCACCTCAACACCCAAGTCTATAACGACCGCTGTAGATCAGACGTTGACTTGCAATATCGGAGGTCTAGACAATAGTGGATCCCCTGCTACTGTAACTTGGAAGGATAGTGCTGGACAAGAAGTTGTAAGACCGGATACCACCAACTATGGTTGGAACCAAGGGACGGTAGATAGCAGCGGAAATCAGGCAGCAGAACTGACTATCAAAACTGCAAAGCTGGATGGTTTTAGTAGTCCATCATCATTCACCTACAAGTGCTCGGTCAAATCTTCCCAATACACAGATTCTCCTGCATCTGACTACGTAGATGTTGTAGCTAACATTCTAAAATTGGGTAAGTTTAGAATATGTCATACTGTTAATCAAGGAAGTTCAAAGATTGTCGGACACACAGTGGTAAGCTATTCTAACTACCTTACTCGGGATTATTACGACGGGTTTATTAACGACCGGTTAAAATATGGTTCGGGAAAAATATGGCGAAATTGCTCAAAACCCACCACATTTTCCCGGTCGCCATTTTACCGGTGTCCAACCTTTCAATTTTAGATTCAAAAATTTTGTCTCAGATGTAAATTTCCTTATTAGAGATAAGCAAGTTTAGAAATTTTTGCATTGCTAAAACTTGTGAAACAAGTCGAATTATCAATAATTGTTGAAAGTAGACAGAAATAATGACTCGTGGTTAATCAAACTAGACGGAAAATAATTGTCTTCGAAAGAATGCATCGTTCACATTGTTTAGAATTATGAATAAATGACTGATGAAACTGATTCATGTTACTGACAGTTTTAATTAATCCAAGTTTTAATTTAACTGTTACTTTTACTTTGAGTCCTATTTCATTATGTAGAGATAGTCAATACCTAAGAAATTAAAAATTGGCCTATTTAAATCAACTTTGACAATAAGGATATATGACAAGAATTGGGCAAAAAGGTGAATTTTTTGTAATTTTAGCCAAATGAAGTCGAAAAACCTACAACAAGTGTCCCAATAGTCTTTTTTAGTGAATATAAGACAACGATTAAAATATGAGCACCCATACCCCTTGGGAACCCTAAAAGCTGAGTCGGCGGGTTTATTAACGACCGGTGAAAATGTGGTTCGGGAAAAATATGGCGAAATTACCCTAAACCCGCCACTTTATCCCGGTCATAATAATTCCGAGTAAGGTAACGTTTAAAATTTAAAATTTTTATTTTTATGGCTACAGGTTATTTTGAAATCATATTGGTAAGAAAATTCGTAACTTCAGGGGTAGTCGCAAAAGACAGCGAAGTTCTCGAGGACACAGCGGCAACAATATCTTGTGTAGTGAACGGCCTGACAAAGCAATTGGACGCGGTAACATGGGAGAAACCTAGTACGGGTGGTGTTATAACTACCGGTACTGACGACTATCAGATTGAAGTTGGAACTTACGATTCTGGTTCAAACAGTCAAACTACAATTCTGACAATTTCTGGACCTGCAAACGGGGCTGATGCTGTTTACACATGTGTCTTTCAATCTGACGAGCATGGAAAGACATTAGGGTCTGAAGAGAAAACTGATGTTAACTCGAACGTGTTCAGTGAGTATCTTACTAATATTAACTGTATACGGATGTTCAGAAGTTTAATTTTGTTACTTGTCAATGCACTAACCGTGATACTGCACCAATGGTTTTTATAGCAGCCGGTTTAGCTAATGATATTAAATGATCTTGAAACCATTTATCTCAAATTATTTCAGCTATTGCTCCTGTTGTCATGTCGGCAACTACTGCTGTGGATCAGACATTGGTCTGCAATATCGGAGACGTAACTACAGCTGTTACTGTATCATGGACGAGTGGAGATAACACCCCAATAACAGACGGTCAGGGAGGATACACTATCACCCAAGGGACAGTTAGCACCAATATCCAGGAATCTAGTCTGACCATCACAGCTGCTACGCTACAACAACTGGATACAAGTTCAGTGATATGGAAGTGTGCAGCTAAGTCCTCACACTACCCAGACTCAGAGCAGTCTGAATACAAAGATCTCACTCTCACTTTCCTTACTTTAGGTTTGTTCTTTAGATCGGTTTGTATGGAAATTGAAAAGAAACCTAGATAAACAGTGCATAACGTTTAAAATTTAAAATCTTTATTTTTATGGCTACAGGTTATTTTGAAATCATATTGGTAAGAAAATTCGTAACTTCAGGGGTAGTCGCAAAAGACAGCGAAGTTCTCGAGGACACAGCGGCAACAATATCTTGTGTAGTGAACGGCCTGACAAAGCAATTGGACGCGGTAACATGGAAGAAACCTAGTACGGGTGGTGTTATAACTACCGGTACTGACGACTATCAGATTGACGTTGGAACTTACGATTCTGGTTCAAACAGTCAAACTACAATTCTGACAATTCCTGGACCTGTAAACGGGGCTGATGCTGTTTACACATGTGTCATTCAATCTGACGAGCATGGAAAGACATCAGGGTCTGAAGAGAAAACTGATGTTAAATCGAACGTGTTCAGTGAGTATCTTACTAATATTAACTGTATACGGATGTTCAGAAGTTTAATTTTGTTACTTGTCAATGCACTAACCGTGATACTGCACCAATGGTTTTTATAGCAGCCGGTTTAGCTAATGATATTAAATGATCTTGAAACCATTTATCTCAAATTATTTCAGCTATTGCTCCTGTTGTCATGTCGGCAACCACCGCTGTGGATCAGACATTGGTCTGCAATATCGGAGACGACACTACAGCTGTTACTGTTTCATGGACGAGTGGAGATAACACCCCGATAACAGACGGTCAGGGAGGATACACTATCACCCAAGGGACAGTTAGCACCAATATCCAGGAATCTAGTCTGACCATCACAGCTGCTACGCTACAACAACTGGATACAAGTTCAGTGATATGGAAGTGTGCAGCTAAGTCCTCACACTACCCAGACTCAGAGCAGTCTGAATACAAAGATCTCACTCTCACTTTCCTTACTTTAGGTTTGTTCTTTAGATCGGTTTGTATGGAAATTGAAAAGAAACCTAGATAAACAGTGCATAACGTTTAAAATTTAAAATCTTTATTTTTATGGCTACAGGTTATTTTGAAATCATATTGGTAAGAAAATTCGTAACTTCAGGGGTAGTCGCAAAAGACAGCGAAGTTCTCAAAGACACAGGGACGACAATATCTTGTGTAGTGACAGGCCTGACAAAGGGATTGGACGCAGTAGGATGGAAAAATCCGGATGGTTTTATAACGCACGGTTCTGACGATATCGATGACTATCAGATTGAAGAGGGGTCTTACATTTTTGGTTCAAAAAGTCAAACTACAGTTCTGACAATTCCTGCAACCAAAAACACGGGTGATGCTGTTTACACATGTGTCATTCAATCTGCCGAGCATGGAAAGATATCAGGGTCTGAAGAGGAAAACACTGTTAACTCGAACGTGTTCAGTGAGTATCTTACTGATTTTAACTTGTTACGGATGTTTAGAAGTTTAATCTTGTTACTTGTGAAGGCACTAACCATGCTATATCAATGGTTTTTCTAGTAGCTGGTTTAGCTAATGATATTAAAATGATCTTTAAATTATTTTATCTAGTACATTTTATTTTACAAAAGTCCAAAGGTCCTTCGCATTTGGTCGTTTCACTATTTCTGAACGAAATGTTTGTCCACATTTTATTTTAAATAGTTCTCGTGAAATCTTGCTCCTATGTAAGATAGCAGATCCCAATACCATTATTACTAATATTAATGAGACAGTACAACTTTTCTTGTTAACATTGTACAATGTTTGTAATTTACGGACCGAAAATCGCCATTTCAAAAGAGAATAAAGCCTCTATTGCCAGAAATTGATCCTTAATCCTCGCCTACAAATCTTCTCTAACAATAATTATCTAACCATCTTGTTAAGATGACCAATATACTCATAATATTCATCATGATATTCCTCATCATAATAATTGAAACTACATCAGTTGGACATTGGGTCAGCTAATGAAATAAACTTTAATTGATCTTGAAACCTTGTATCTCCAATTATTTCAGCTATCACTCCTGTTGACATGTCGGCAACCGACGCTGTGGACCAGACATTGGTCTGCAATATCGGAGACGTAACTACAGCTGTTACTGTATCATGGACGGATCAAGATAACACCCCAATAACAACCGGTAATGGATACACTATCACACCGGGGGCAGTTGACGGTGTCACCAATATCCAGGAATCTAGTCTGACCATAGACACTACTACGTTAAAAGAACTGGATACAAGTTCAGGCTCCGTGATATGGAAGTGTGCAGCTAAGTCCTCACAATACCCAGACTCAGAGCAGTCTGAATACAAAGATCTCACTGTCACTTTCCTTACTTTAGGTTTGTTCTTTAGATCTGTATGTATGGAGATTAAAAAGAAACCTATATAAACAGTAGGGGTCGCCCTCTGTTATGAGGTGCTTTAATCAATTAGCCCCACGTCAGATCGTGTAGTCGATAATTTTTCCTACACGGGGATACCAAGATTTTAAAAATTGACCAATGTCAATAACGTTATGCACTGTTTATTAAACAGTGCATAACGTTTAAAATTTAAAATCTTGATTTTTACGACTACATTTTATTTTAAAATCATTTGGTAAGAAAATTCGTAATTTCAGCGGTAGAAGCAAAGGACAGCGAAGTTCTCAAAGACACAGTGGCGACAATATCTTGTGTAGTGACAGGCCTGACAAAGCAATTGGACGCAGTAGCATGGAAAAATTCGGATGGTTCTATAACGCACGGTTCTGACGCTACCGTCGACTATCAGATTGAAGAGGGGACTTACATTCTCGGTTCAAAAAGTCAAACTACAGTTCTGACAATTCCTGCAACCGAAAACAAGCATGATGCTGTTTACACATGTGTCATTCAATCTGACGAGCATGGAAAGACATCAGGGTCCGAAGAGGATGAAACTGTTAACTCGGACGTATTCAGTGAGTATCTTACTGATTTTAACTTGTTACGGATGTTTAGAAGTTTAATCTTGTTACTTGTGAAGGCACTAACCATGCTATACCAATGGTTTTTCTAGTAGCTGGTTTAGCTAATGATATTAAAATGATCTTTAAACTATTTTATCTAGTAAATTTTATTTTACAAAAGTCCAAAGGTCCTTCGCATTTGGTCGTTTCACTATTTCTGAACGAAATAGTTGTCCACATTTTATTTTAAATAGCCCTCGTGAAATCCTGCTCCTATGTAATTATGTAAGATAGCAGATTCCCAATACCATTATTACTAATATTAATGAGACAGTACAGCTTTTATTTTTAATATTGTACAATGTTTGTAATTTACGCACCGAAAATCGTCCTTTATTTTTATGGCTACAGTTTATTTTAAAATCATATTGGTAAGAAAATTCGCAATTTCAGCGGTAGAAGCAAAGGACAGCGAAGTTCTCAAAGACACAGTGGCAACAATATCTTGTGTAGTGAAAGGCCTGACAAAGCAATTGGGGGCAGTAACATGGGAGAAACCTAGTCTGGGTGGTGCTATAACTGACGATATTGAAGGTTATCTGATTGACATTGGAACTTACGAACCTACCACCAACAGTCAAACTACAATTCTGACCGTACCTGCTGGTGAAAACACGGCTGATGCTGTTTACACATGTGTCATACAACCTGACGAGCATGGTAAAACATCAGCGTCTCCACAAAAGACTGATGTCAACTCGAACGTTTTCAGTGAGTAATCTTGATCAATTTTTTGAAAGTTTTGGCTTCGTAAGACTGCCCCTTGATGTCAGTTATTTCAGTTATGAGCTTCAATGGAACAAATGTGATTCTGTCTATAAAAGGAACGTCGTTGAATTCACTAGGAATGTTGTCCAAGGGGCCGCACTTCATTGTGGCACAATGCCCAGGCTTTGTATCTGTTTTTGGACCAGTCATTTTGCTTCTTTGACCCCTGACCCTCCGAATCAGCTGCCAGTAGCTGCAATTGATCTTCACTCAGTGGTCGCATGTTCATGAATAAAAATTTACAGCCACAATCACAAAAATTATCTGTTCAGCAAAGGATCTAGCAACTGACTAGCAAGTAGCAACTGACAAGTTTGGAAATGTTCAGATTTGGGATCGTGCCAAAGTGTGCAGCATGGCGCGCGCACCTTTCCCACGCTTTCCTGTCACGTGACAAGAATTGATCTCATGAGAAAATATTCAGTCATGGCATTATTGGTTTATAATAACATAAACCCGCCACGCAAAGGGTTTATATACCAGATCATCCCGCGCTAGCGGGATGATCTGATAAACACATACGAGTGCGCGCAGCGCACGAGTTTTGTGTTAATATGTAATCCCGAAGCGCCAGCTGAGGGATTACATTTATTTAGCCCTGAGCGTGAAGTGTTTATGGATTATAATTATCTCCGGTGATTTCGACAAGGGATTTTAAATACTTTAGAAGAGAGTGATAAAATAGTTTTTAAAGCGGTAAGTTTAAAGCGGTAAAGACAGAATACATAGTCTTCATCTTCAAGTCAAATCCAACAGAAACAAGAAAGCACTCTAAAATGTAGTTGAGTCGTTGAACAGGAATTTGGTCAAAGTCATTGAAGTCACGAGCAAATCTGGATGACTGAAGCCAAGAATTAAATTTGTTTAGAGCCCAGTTGTTGACTCTAACTGTACTGTCCGGAACACGATTGGAAAGCAGTTCATCAATCTGAATGTCAAACCGATCTGTCAAAGTGGAGCAATAGCTTGAACGTTAGCAGGAACAAGAGCTGGAAGGAGAGCAAGCAAAACAATACTATTTTTAGGGCACGGACAAGGGTAGCTGGCTAGTCGCCAACTTCTCACGCCACGCGTTGGAGAAATTCCAAGAATTAGCTGCTTTGGCAACGTTCCCAGGAATTTGCGTGTAAAAGAAGTGGACGGTTACGATGTTTCATATTACGTGGTGCGCTTTCGTGTCACGTGGTATAGACTCGGCGTATGCTATTGGTGGCACGTGGTACGCACGTGACGCGCCCACGTGATCGCGCGTCTAACTGTTCTACTATTATCGAGTTCTAATCAGCAGTGTCATTGATTATTGTAAGTCGGAGAATTGAATGATAAACATCAGTTACGACTAAAAAGCGGGCCGGGTTTATACAAATTTCCGGGGCGGGATGATATCACCTTGAGATGTTTATCTAACAGCGGGCCGGGCTGAGTGATAATATGATCCCGCGTCGAAATCCCGGAGATATTTATATGTAGCGCGAGCCGCTCATCAAGGTAACAGGAGTCTGTGCTGATAATAGTAATAGTAATACCCTCGCTTCTCTTGCGGGAAATATCTGGAAATTATCAGCTCTCAGTGTCGACGAGACTTAGTGCATATAATTCCCTGAAATAGTTCCAAGCCTAAGTCATGCACGATCCTTTTATGATAGATGTAGTATGGTTCTTCGTATTATATCGTAGTATTTAATATATTTTTCTGTCAGAGTTTTACCACATATGTTCCTTGTCGTTATATTTAATTTTAATTGATAAATTTCAGAACTGATGAAGATGTAGACCATCGAAAATATTTTTGTGACATAAACTACTTTTAAAAATAAAATTTTTTAAATTTTTTAAAAATTTTTTAAATTTAATTTAATTTTATTTTATTTTTAAAAAATTTTAAATATGCAACCTACTAAAACCAATGGAGCTCTCCTCGGGGTCATTCCTCTCGCATTTGCGAAAGTCGTCACAAAGGTGTAAAAGGAGGTCAGGATTTGTACCCGCCAAGCTCTTACATCGCTAATTGTTGACCATCGGCCTCCACTGAAGGTAAGTTTTTTAGAGTGGAGGCCAACCGTCAGCTTGGGATGCAGGGCCAAGCGGGAAACAACGTCAAGGCCCCTTTCTACTTAGGCCATGTTGGTTTTGGCAGATACTGTGGTAATAAAATATAAAGTGAATGAGTGAAATGAAGTGAGTGAAAAGGGTGTAAGAGAGGAGGCTGGAGGAGCTTGTAAGAAATTTAGGAAAGGAAGGAAGCAGGGCATGTACTACAAAAAGACAGCTACTTGTTTCACTTGTTCAGCTCGCTAGTGGAGGAAAAACAGAATTTTCACCTATCAACATAGATGTAGTAATCTGGTGGATTCGTGTAGTGTTAATAATTCAAATTTCTGATCGTTTCTGAATAGACTCAATCAGAAATTTGAATGAAAGAGATGTAGTAGCTTCATTTCAATCATTGTGGATATAGTAAAACCATAGAATAACCTTAAGTTAACTCGATATTTACATTTATTTTAAATGTATCTATATCTTTGTTTTTATAACCTCTAATTGCAGTGCTACCTACAATGGATACTGTGTACTACAGCCCCACTAGTATAGAGGTGACAGTGGAAGGACGTTATGAGCCACAAATAATTTGGTTCATTGGAGGACAGGCGTACAGCTCTCAAGATAATCCCCATTTGACCCCAACAATTTCATCGGTATGGTCTGGGTCCAAAAAGACCTTTAATCTGGCGTTCGATATGAGTGGGTTTGAAATATCTATGTCGCCGTTCACAGTTCGAGGAACAGTGTCTTTCGGAGACGCCACTGATTCAACCTTCGACACGGTTACAACCAACATCTACAAGAGAGGTTTTTCTATTTGTTTTCTTCTCTTGTTCATTGTCTGATTTAAGTTTATGATTCGATATTGCTGAAGCTTGAGTGATATCTAACTCTCATTTAACCTCGATTTTAATCTTAAATATGAATTTATTTTCATAGCTGTATTGAACCTAATCTAAAGAAGTTTTTATTACATTAATGCCCATCCCAGAGTTTGTTGAGAGCCTTCCAGCCTCAACAACATTCCGCAACGCTGACATCCCGAAAGAATTTGTATGCTCTGCTTTGGGCGAAGACAAGGGATTACTTACGTTGTCTTGGAAAGTAGGTTTGTTTCTAACGATCTCCTGTTGCTCACATTCAATGTAATGTACACATTGCAACTCGCTCCTTTGGATGTGATACGTACGATACATAAATTTTATGACCGGTCAGTTTTGTCAACGCTGAAATGCAAGTATTCTTTTTCTCGTGATAATTGAAATTACACACTAAAGAACGATACCACCACTCAACAGGAGATGTACTAGTAGATGATGAGGTAGAGCACGTGACCCTAACAGATGAGTCAGACAGCAGCTCCACCACCACCAAGATCAGCAAGTTGACAATAACAACCAACAAACCAACTTTCAACACTCAGTTCAAATGTATCGCTACCTGGAGTGGTGTAAATGGAAAGTCGATCGAGTCGGCGTCTGACGTTAACGCTGTTGGAGTAGCTGTGGGTGAGAACACGTTCAGCACCGGTTCCTCTGGAGACGGAGTGATAAGTTGTGTGGTGTGGGGTGATTCACCCCCACATTCTGTCACGTGGTCTAACGAAAGGGAGGATGCTATCACCAACCAACCTGATGAGGTAACTGCCATAGATAGCCGAGAATTAATAGTCTCAATGTACGATTTTTGAGCATGATTATCTTTTTTGATATCTTCCAACTAAATGACCCAACGTTCAGACAGAAATCGCAGACAGTATAACAGAAGGCATTACTTACACCCACACGCTCACTGTTAAGAAGATGACGTTTGGGGATCAAGGAAAGTACACCTGCTCAGTTGTGTTTGTGGAAAACGAAACCCCCGTTAATGTCGTCACAACTCTTAACAAGCTTTGTAAGTTGATTATCAGTGATATTCAAACATTTATCCATCATGTTGCTAAAAATTATATTTACATATTGGTATTGTTTTATACATGTGAAACGGATCGTTTGCCCGTCAATTTGATTGTTTTCAATTGTTCGAAATATATATGTATATATATATATAATATATATAATATATATATTCAATAAATTCACTGCTAAGTGATTGATTTTCAGCTGCAAGTTTCGAACCAGCAACACCATATTTCGTCCACGAGAAAACTGTCCAGTTCTCCTGCGTGTACAACGGTTTGGATGACCCGCAGAATATCGAATGGTTCAGGGTAAATGAATACGCCGATATTAATTAATAATTAAACCGAAATAAACTGAAAATCTAAAATATCTTGGAAAGATGTCTTGTGAAAAACTACGTTTTCTTTTGTTTTTGTTTCATTAAATCGTTAAAACCAACACCATAAAGAGCTACGATCTCAGAGTTCAACAGACGATGCTGAAAACCTAATCAGCAACAGTGATGCTAAGTACACCATTACCACTGGCAACTTCAAAGAGGCCTTCAGTACGAAGACTAGCATTATCACTGTAGAGAATGTTGAAGTTACTGACAGTGGCGACTACACCTGCAAATGGACCACCGAAACCTTCAATCCTAAGTCAACAATGGTAGTCTCTGTTCGATGTAAGTGATTCTGTATTTAGCACGGCGTTCCTCAAGAGTTGTGATACTTGTCATGATTTTTTATAATTTCTATATTGTTCCAGAATTTTCTGCTTTACAAAATTCAATCATATTACAAATAGAAACAATTTCAGTGCTGACCACTCTCTACAACGGTATACAGCACTCTACAACGGTATACAGCACTGACGGGTCAATAAAGATCACGTGCAACTACGAGGGTACAACGAGTGGCACCATGGAGTGGTACTATAATAGCCAGAAACTGGAAGATGCTGCTGATGATGCCATCGCCATCAACCCTCGTTCCCTGCAGAGCAATGCTCAGCAGTACACTTTGACAATTACTGACGTTACTCCTCCTGAAAATACGGGGTCTTACAGCTGTGTTCTGTCGTTCACAGACGGGGACAGTCTGCGAGCAAGCACGGAGGTTGTGGTGCGAAAATCATCCTCAGTCGACAGAGCGGGCACTGCTGAATCCACCATAGTTGTAACTGGTGATGACCTTTCTGCCAGATGCCTTATGGAAGGTGACAAGGTTCCCTCTGGAGTGACATGGACTAAAGGTGGCGATAATATCGTGTTCGATGGATCCGTTAAGATAGAAAACACGAATACCAAACAACTGGAAAGCAGCATAAAGTTTTTCAGCAACATAACTATAAAAAGCTTCGATTTTGCTGACGAGGATAGTTACATCTGTAGCTTCATTTTTGAGGACGGTATTAATGTTCAATCAACAATAGAGGTCGTGTCTGCTAAAATTACCAACAATGAATGTGAGTTTGTAGACATCCGAACCGACACCAGCAATACCCTAACCTGTGCTTACCATGGTAGTAGTGCTGCCACTGCTGTTTCCTTTACTCTACCAGACGACTCAGTTGTTGCTGGAGTATTGGCTGAATTCAGCGCTGGAGGGGATGCCAGTACGGCAGGTTCCCAAACGGGTAGTTACGCTGTATCTAGTGTGAGTGAAGCGTCCAGTGGTTCGTACAAGTGTACCTTCACTTTAACAGGAGGGAAGACTGTGGAGTTCATTCAGAGACTAACTGCAAGGAGTAAGTAAAAACTGAAATGTTTATATAATTTCCATTTGCTTCTCCGCGAAATGTTGACTCCAGAAATTAAACATAAAGTGTGCTTATTAACCTTGAATGATCTTCGTGCAGTAACAACAAACGTTATTTCAGAGGCTGTCATCGAATCATCAGCTGGTCTAAATGCAAATCTCATCGTACAGGATTCTATAACTCTGACTTGTACCGTTGCCTCTGGTGCACGGTCCTTAGACTGGTTAGTGTAGAACTTGTTGCAGAACTATTCAGGTCCTTCGTATAATTTACATTTGATTCAAATTTCAGGTTTCAATATGTTCATCCTCCGATGTGCTATAACATTCCATCCATTTTCTTAATTTTAGGTACAAGGGAGCGGTCAAGCTGATCGAGGAGGAAGATTACGAACGAATAAAAGTGTCAGAATCAGACGACTTGGTTTCCAAAATAACTTTTGACATCGCTGACGACAGCGCAGGGTCATACATGTGTCGTGCGGTTCAGTACGACGACTTCTGCCCTACCGAGGAAACTTTTGATTCGGAACCAGTTGCGGTGTCAATCATAGCGGCAGCTCTGATAACAAACCCTGCTAGTGCCACTGCTTATGGTGGTGCAAGCCACGTGTTTGAATGCGTGTTCCCTAATCCATTCGGAACTGATAATAACGAAATCACGTGGTCTTTCAAAAGTGCTGGGGATTCTGTTGCTAGGGTAAGTTTTGACAATATCTTTTGGTCCTACCAAAAATAAAAATGAAAATATACAATCTCGTCGTAAATCTGATGTACATTTTTTTCCGAAGTACTGATCACATCTAATGAGCAAACTCATGTTTCATGTTAGCAGTATATTATAGTGACTGCAACAAATAAAATCCGGTGCCTTCACTAATACTTTTCTCACTCAAATTTATCCCATAATCGCAGCCGATGATAGGAAATGGAGATGTGTACAATGACCAAAGTGAGAGAGTAATCGATGGAACAAAGGCATCTGACAGCTCGGTTGCAAATAAAATCTCAACCACCCTCACCATCGGAAGTGTTAGTTAAATCCTTCAAGTGATATCTGAGATAGCTGTTTAAGTATTTGCCGTTTCAGAGGTTTCTTTGACTAACTTTCGGACGCATTTAAAAGCTGGATTATCACCAAGCCTTTGCTGATATTTGAATTGTTAACTTTACAGGTAAACTCGGACGCAGCAGGAGAGTATATCTGTTTCATAAAGTGGGGAAGAATATTCATCAAGTCCGCAGCCGCCACACTAACAGTTCGAGAAATCTCTTCTCCACCCGAAACAACCAACGTGGCAAAGGGAGGAGAGGCTAAGTTCACTTGTAAAACTTCCGGTGACAGCGCAGCGTTAATCACCTTCCACAAGACAATTAGTGATGAGTTAGTTGGTACAGTTGTTGTGACTGAAGCTACATCTGGTGACATTGTGATTACCACTGGAATATTGACCATTGCTGGTGTCACAGCTGCAGATCACGGTATTGAGTATTATTGCAAAGCAGCTTGGGGTGAAAACACATTGAAATCTTTAGAATGCTGCTAGTACAAGAGAGACGATCCTTTCTCTAGAAACTAAAATAAGAAGTGTTCAACTCCCGGAAACAGAATACAAAATAGTTCTTCCAATGTAAACAAAAGACCTGGCCAACGTAACGTGGCTCCCTGCCGCTCCTGTACCAACCACAGTACCAGGAGCGCAGTGACTCGTAACTAAACATGAAACAAAAGGCCGCAGGAGGGTGATAACAGGGTAAGTGGCATGCAAACTAATTCTAAAGGACAGAGGGCGCCAAGGAATGTAAAACGATCCAATGTAGGGTACAACATCTCACCCCCTAAAGAACTGGAATAATTTAACTTGAAAAATATTATGACAAACAACTTTAAAGTGGCCTAACAAACTTTAAGAAGAATTTTGAAACAGGAGAACACTATAAAACTAATCATCATCCCAAGTTCTCATCGTCTGAATAACCGAAATTTAAAAAACCTCATGCGATAATAAAGTCCCCAATAATAATTCGTGTCCCTGATATTTGGGTTAATTCTAACTCTCCCCAATAATAACATATCATAATAAAGTTCATATAACTCTGAACGCTCGGTAAAAAGTCCACGATCTGACTCTAGACTCTTGTAGTCTCGTAGGTGCCAGTCTCTTTGTCGTAGCCAGAGGTTGTAGTGTGTAGAATATGATGATCCTTCTTCCCTCCCAAACCTGAGTTTTTAGAAAAACTCATCCATCATGATGCAGTAGGTACGCAGATTGCCTAATGAGGTAATGAGGTATCTGCTTGAATTCCCTGAATATTCACCGTGATCCACAGTGACTTACGTCATTCTGAAATATGTGTCCAAAGTACTTCCTGAGATGTGTACTAAGATGTGCAATCAACTTGCACGGTTAAACCAATCAATGACATGGTTATAGCTGGGGCTTGTAGTTTAACGACTTACTTCCCCAGTGCAAGGTCGGCACATACTAACGCTCTATCCGTAGCTCTTCGTACCCCTAAATAGCTGTAGGAAGTTCGGTGCATTTCTGGCTCGGGTAGGATTTCTTCTGGGAGGTGCTGTTGTTGATTCCGAAGGGTCGACCTCCAGTGGAGCAACGATTTCAAACCCGCTGTCATCCATCTCTTCTGCATTGTCTTGCTCTGTAGGATCGTCCTGACAGTCAGCTGGTTGCGGGCTACATTGTTCAGTATCTTCTGTAGCCTGATGTGTGGTCGTGGTGCTGTCCCCCATGTGCTGGATTTCTGACTGGGCCGTCTCTGGTACTATCTCAACTTCCATACCGTGTCTTTCTGTCTGTTCTCTGGAGCGTGAATCCTGTTTACCAGTCACTGAGGTGTTATTCACATCTTCGGTAGGTTCGAACTGGCTGGCATTAGCGTTGAGCTGTGACGGCGAGTACCTACTTTTTACGTATTTCTTTAACTTACTGATGTTTACTAGTTTATCCCTCGATCCGAGGTCAACTACATAGAGATGATCATCGATACGTTTGGTCACTTGGTATGGCCCCTGCCATCTCTTGGCGAACTTATGGCTAGGGCACTCTATGAGAGTGTAAACCCAATCCCCCTGTTGAAAGTATGGTCCGTGTAAGTTCTTGTTGTACGATGTGTCTGCATAGGAAAAGTCTAACGCAGCGTGACGTCTCGCCTTGAGACAGATTTCCCTGATGGTACGATATAACTGGTAAGCAGTAGTTCCTTTCTTCGCCGAACTGTCTAGTTGAACGGGATCCCCGTTTATTTCCAGATCAAGAGGCGTGTTCAGGTGCCGCCCAAAAAGCATAAAGTTTGCCGAAAATCCGGTATGTCTTGACTTCAAGGAGTTGAGTGCAAAGGTGACGTAGTTGAGATACAAATCCCAGTCGCGGATTTGTTTGTCTGTTAGCGTGACTCTCAAAGACTGGTTGATTCGTTTGTTTGAACGCTCTGCTTTAGCTGTACTGGAACACTTGTAAGGTACACCGTGAGTTACTCGAATCTTGAAATAGCGGCAAACTTCGTTGAAAATTTCTGCGGTAAAAGAAGTGTCATTGTCCGCTAAAATTTCTCGAGGATATCCGTATTTCAAGCACCATCCGTGCTGAATCAGTCGTATGGTTTCCTCGCTTCTACGTGTCTTGCATGGGAGGGCGACTAAATAGCCGGTAAAAACATCCGTTAAGGTGAGAATGTAGCGGTATCCCCTCTTGGTAACTCCCTCCTTCTCTGGGACGATGTGGTCTATTGAAATCGCGTCTCCGAACTCATATGTGATTACGTGTCGCAGTGGTGCCTTGAGATACGCTCTAGGTTGCTTACAGCTGCCGCATGTTACACACGATTTTACGTATAGGTCGACTTCCTCTCTGAGCTGAGGCCAGTAGTATCTCCGCAGTATCTGATTGTATGTCTCGTCCACTCCAGGATGCATGGTGATAAGAGAAGCGTGGTGCTGATCCAGCACCGTCTTTTTCAAATACTCTGGAATCAATACTAAGTAACGCTGTATCTCTATCTCTTTACTGCCTTTGTTGTGAAGTATCCACTTTTTGCAAAGCAGTCCTTCTCGAATTACAATCAGATGGAGCTGTTTCCAGTATGTCAGGAGATCACGTGGTAACCGCAGTCTTTGAAGCTTATCAGGCTTGCCCGTCTCCAACCATTTCTTGACTTCGACGAGAACAGGATCCCTGTTCTGCTCTTGTATTAGCCGATCCTTTTCTATGATTTCGCCAAGCTCCAATTGTTGTGTGATTGAACTTCCGATGGTTGATACCTTAATGTCAACCCTTTCAGTGTTGTTTTGTGCCAACACATCTGTACCGCAAATACAGGCGTCTCTCGTTCTGACTTTGCTGAAATCAACCGGTTCTGAAGATGTCCAGTCTGCAGTCAAAACTTCTTCATTGATGAAAACATCCATCTCATTGTTCTCCGTGACAAGATCCTTGTCGGTGTTTATGGTAGTGCAATCCTGTGTGTAGCTGACCTCTTGCACCCTGGTCGTGTTGGCTGATACACTCTTGACCTGTACAGCACTTTCTGCATTACGATCCTCGGCTGTCTGCGTGCTCTTGTTCTCTACTCTGGTCTTAAATAGATACCTCGAGAAGAAGTCTGCTATTTCATTTTCCGAGCCTTTGAGGTGTTCTAACTCGAATCGGAAATCTGCGAGCTTGTTCAATCTTCTGATCATTGTGGAGTTTGCTTTAGCAAAAAGTTTCTCTAGTGACAATAAGCTGAGGCAATCAGTCTTCACTAGAAAACGTGTTCCCTTCAGGTACAAGGCAAAATGTTGCAAAGTTTCTACCAGACACTCAAACTCTAACTTACTCTGGCTCCATCGCCGCTTATGTTTCGGCACACGTTTCGAAAAGAACGCGATGGTTTTAAGCTCGCCATCCTGTCGCTGGGCCAGTTCAGCACCATAGCCGTGCTCTGAAGCGTCTATCGTGACAACGTAACTCTGCTCAGGGTCATCCACCCTTGGCAATGTGAGATTAATTTCTTGTGCGATGCGTCGTTTTATCTCCTCAAACCCCTCTTGACATCTGTTGTTCCAGAAAAACCTCGTGTCCTTATCTAGTAACTCGTAGATAGGTTTTGCTAATCCAGCAAATCCCTTCACGAACTTCCGATGATAGCTGAGAAATCCCATTACCTTTTGTGTTTCCTTGAAGTTCCTGGGAGCTGGTAGGTCTTTTACTGCCTTGACTCTCTCATCATTAATGCTTACTCCCTTGTCCGAGATTGTCCATCCGACAAACTCTACTTTTCTGCGTAACAGCTTACACTTACTGGGCATGAGCTTCAAATTTGCTTTAGACAAGCGCTCTAACAACAACTCTAACCTGTCAAAATGGGTCATCTTATCCTCCGATGCTATCATTAAATCATCGAGAAAGTACGCAAGTTGATCTAGAGGAATGTTAGCCAGGAGCTGGTCTATCATTCGAGCAAACTGGGAGCTTGATGAAACATGTCCCATTACCAGTTTGTTGAAGACGTAGCGTCTTCGATTAGCAGTAAATGCAGTCAGCTTGACCGAATCCCGGTCGTAATCCACCTGATAAAAGCTTTTGCTGAGATCAAAGGTTGAAAACCATTTTGCCCCCGCCATCTTGTCTGTTACAGTATTAATTCGTGGTAGCATGTAAGTGTCAGGAAGACATTGACTGTTGAGTGCACGAAAGTCCGCTACAAATCGAAATTGACCGGGTTGGTGGGGTTTGGCAACGAGAAATACTCTCGAATTCCAAGGGTTGTCCTCTCCAGTGATCTCGCTGATGATACCGTTGTCCAGCATACCATCCATATGCTTTTGCAGAGCATCCCTCTGCTTGTACGGTGTTGGTATGGGACAAACATACTGTGGTTCCGCGTTTGGTTTTAGCTTGATAGAGGCGGTGTAGAAGTTGCAATTTCCCAAATCAAACTCATGCCTGGAAAACACATTCCTGTATTTCCAAGTGATCTCCTCCAAACGACACCGTTCTTGCTCTGAAATTTCAAGTTCTGTTACGCGAAGTTCTTTGAACAACCTGGACTTAGTCCACTCTTCAACATCATGTTTTGCCCGATGCTCTGTTTCACGTGGGATGTCAGTGGTAGCGGTATTGATACTTTGGACTCCCTTCACGTTAGCAAGCTTCTTGGTTTGCGGCGGAGGATTGAGAAAACCAATCAATTTCCGTTTGTGAAGTACGACTGGTTCATCGCTAGGATTCAGAACTCTGATAGGTATTTCATTCTCTTCGCTATGTGACAGAGATTCTGCCGCAAACAACCCGTTTCCCGAAAGATTAGCATAGGGTTCCAATCGACCACTGTAAACTGTCTTTTTATCCAAATTCTGATTTTGCAGCTTACCTTTAACAAAGGTCATCGAGTTAGCTGGGATGATAACTGTGGACGATGAGCGGACCTTTATTCTCCTGATGACACGAGTGGGTGCAGGTAGAAATTTTGCGAAGCCTTTACTGGATTCCAGCATGTTGTCCTTTCCATTCACACATAGCCCTCGCGTTCTGATGAAGTCCATTCCCAGTAGAATATCGCATTCCATATTGTCTTTCACTACAATGCAAGTCTGATATGCTTCTGTGTCTGCTATCCGCAGTAGAAGGTTTACCTCACCGATAGTGTCGATCTTATTCTCAGTGAAAGAAGATAAAACATACTTGGTCCGATCCACTTTATCAATGCCCAGCTGTCTCAATAGTGATGCATTGACGAGGGTGACATGGCTGCCTGTGTCCACCAGGCAGTTAACTTCATTGCCTTCCGCATGACCCCTCACCACTACATCACTGCCTATGCCTCTAACTGTCCCGGGCCGGTAGTCAGTCCGGCCCCCATCTAGTTTAAATTGTCTCGGTTGATACTGCAGTTCCTGGCGATATGTCCGACACGGTGGCATCTGAAACAGGTTCTGGTTTCTGGTCGGTTTTGGTATCGGTTGCTGGAGCGATCCGTTCTGCCATATGTTCCCCTTTGGTACCTCCCTGTGTTAAAGTTGCGAGAGTTTCTTTGCTCTGTGTATTGTTCACGAGAGTTTCCTTGCTCCGTGTTCTGGTCGCGAGAGTTTCTGTCATTCCGTTCGATGTCACGTGATCCACGTGCCCTTTCGTCTCTGAAATTGCTACCTCTGTTTTCACTGCTTGTTTCGTCGTTGATTTTCAGTACTGTCATCTGGTTTTCTAAGTGTGTACCAGGTATTCTACTCCTTTTCATTTTCTCGAACTTCCGTCCAGCCGAGACGGCTACTTCAAAATCGTTTTCAGCTCCTGGGGTGGCTAAGATTTTATCATAAAGCTCATCGTTCACCCCGTGCAAAAACGCATTTAAGCAGGCTTCTGATCTTTCATTTATATTACTATAGGCCGCCCTATTCGCAATGTTTCTTAGTCTACTTGCAAAGGAGTCAACGTCCTCATCCTCCCCTTGTTTTGTGCAGCCAGCTGTGAGCTGCTGCCGTAACGCCCTCACCTCCGATAGAGGGTAGAGTTCTTCATGACACTTGGCTAGCAGGATATTTAAGTCTGCTTTCTCACTGTCCGTGAGTTTCTCTACCATTGGAGCGAGTTTCTGTAGAGTGTTGTCGTCCACGTTATTCAGGAGCAAATTAGCTTGCATACTTTTCGGTACCCTGGCACTGTCCACAAACATTTTGTATCTGTAACTAAAGGTCGAAAAATCTTCACCCCTCTTGTACTCCCGTGGCTGCTGTACTCGCATTCTTGTTGTTGGTAAAGTAAAACCAGAATCCCTGATTTCTGTTGAGTGAGCGACTTCCTGTTCCATTGCCTGTAGCTGTGGTGTGGGGGAATTAGCCAATTTGATAATTGGTTTATGCAAAACCAGGCTTTCCGACATCAAAAGTTCCATAATCTTTTCAGCAATGTCCGACTTGGCTTCGTTTGCCGCATCTAGTTGTTCTTGTATCTCCGTCTTGTCAGCTTCCTCCGCTTCCAATATCTGTTGTTCAAGTGGAGCAATCCGTCCGTTTGTTGTCTTTAGTTCCTGTCTGAGTTCGTTCAAGCTGTTGTGCTCCTCCATGGCGATCACAACTCAATACACTAATTGATCCAATTCGTGCAGTCAACAATTATAATACACAGTAATCAATCCGATTAGTGTGAGCAGGTCTCAATCCGAATATCTGACAAAAGGAATCAAAACTGAACGGGGCACTGAAAGTACTAAAACAAGTTAAGTACGATGGTTCAAACGCTCGAGGCCTCCAGATTTAGAATGCTGCTAGTACAAGAGAAACGATCCTTTCTCTAGAAACTAAAATAAGAAGTGTTCAACTCCCGGAAACAGAATACAAAATAGTTCTTCCAATGTAAACAAAAGACCTGGCCAACGTAACGTGGCTCCCTGCCGCTCCTGTACCAACCACAGTACCAGGAGCGCAGTGACTCGTAACTAAACATGAAACAAAAGGCCGCAGGAGGGTGATAACAGGGTAAGTGGCATGCAAACTAATTCTAAAGGACAGAGGGCGCCAAGGAATGTAAAACGATCCAATGTAGGGTACAACAAATCAGGTAACGTGTTCTTATCTGTTTTGGATATAACGAGCTCAACAGAAACTGTGTGGGGCCTCGCTGGTTATGTACCGGTTTTCAAATGTTATTCAGATGCTTTGCTCAAAGTAAACGCGAACGGCGATCCGTATTTGGTCAACAAGCAGAAGACATACGCCGATGCTCAAATAAGTTGGGAGTTTTTTGACACTTCAGACACATCCTGGAAATCAACTGCTTCAAATTCACGGTGAGTGCATGCTTGAAAATATGACCATTTTAAACTTCATTAAATAAGATAGCAGCTGAATACTAGGGGTATAAACTCCCTGCGTTGTGGCTTGTTTGCTGTACATAATCTAAGCTAAAGCGAGTGGTCGCTGAACTTAAGTTTAAATCTTCCCGAATGGAAATTCGTGTATTTTATCCGGAAACTAAATCTTAAACTTGCCACCAGATTCGTGGTTAAGACATCGATGAGAAGCGTTCATGGAGTAAGTTTGTCTCCTATGTCTCTCAATAACCTGGAGGAAGGTGATAACGATCTGAAAGTAAGATATAACATCGCCTACCAAACAGATGCAGCCAACAACTTCTACGGAGGTACAGTTACCTCAGGAGAAATGACCATGAAGATCAGTTCCATCACATCCTTCACTTCGTCTAAATCCGACCCACTGGTTGGAGAAACCATCACTCTAACATGTACTGCAACCGGAGAAACTGCTCCTACTTTCTCTTTTACAACCCAAGGGAAGAACCATTTCGACACTACCTTCTTTAAGTTGGTGAAGGCTGCAACTGTTACTTCAGTCGATTCAGTACACACTGCGGAATACACTACAGAGACTCTCAGGGTTAACACGATGATAAATGGACAAGTTTTCAACTGTCTGGTAAGAAGACGATTAAAAAAAAAGATTATTGAATACGTTTCAAACTATAGCAATTATAACGTATAAAATAAATTATTGCCCCAGTCTGTAAAATCTGACGGGAGACCAAACCTGGTACTGCACAGTACAATGTGCCCGCAATTACATGGCCCCGATATGATTACAAAAATGTGAAACAAAATTGTGAAAAAATAAATGTGTGGTTCAAATTTCTTCAGACGATGCTGATACACTGTTTTTATCAAAGCTGACAATCTTATTGTTCCTTATTAAGTGAACTTTGTTAGGCTCTGCTTTCCTCTTCTCTTTCAATTCTTCCCAGAGCTTCTTGAAAGCTTTCCTTTTCTTCCACTGATCTGTCCGGGCATGAAATGTAGATATTTTTATAGCCCTCTTTTGTGCGTAGAAGTTTATTAGCTTCTCTCAGCACCTGAGCAGCCATATCAGAGCTATTCAGAGATAGCTTAGTAGGTCGTGATGTGTCGGCTCCCTTCAGACCAACTCTACAACAGTCACGAAATGAAGTTTTCTCGTTTATCTCACCAAGAACTTCAGCAACTTTGTTTTCTAACTTCTCACCGTCGGATTCACTTGTTCCATAGATTACGACGTTTCTGCTTCTTTCATCCTTTTGAGCTATTGTTTTAACTGCAGTACATATCTTCTTTGGCGTAAGAGCAGCAGCACAAGTCTTCTTCAGGGCAGAAGAATATGATTTCATTTCTGTCTGCACTGTTGTTTGGACTGACTTGAGCTCTTCGTCCTTTTTTTCAATGAGCTTCTTCTGCAAATCAATGACAGTTTTCTGCTCCGCGATTAATTTTTTTAAAATCACTGTTTGTGCAGGCTTGTATACAACTACAATATTTTTGTAAATAATGCATATTGAAAATGCATAAATCGTGATTGATAGAACAACGCAGTTCAACACTTTTTATCCATTTTTCTTATCGAGATTCGCTATATTATTTCAGGCTGACTACGGATTAGCTCAGAAAACAGATAAAGAATTGACAGTCACAACATATTTCAATTGTGCTGATGTCACATGGAAATCATTAAATCCAGGTATAGCATCACTCCTGATCCTAGATCATAGAACTTTTAAAAAATATATTACATTAACAATCGCCCTGCAAGCATTGGATTTAATAACGCTCTGGTTTTGGTTTCTTTGGACCGACTTCTTGCCAAGAGTATATGCAACTTTAATACTTGTACTTGTAAGTAGATCTACGATTGGTGTTAAGTCAAGTTAAGGGTTGAAGGGTTCCAGGTTCTGGGCAGAATAACATAAACCTATCAACATGCATCTGAGTCCAGATATGCACAACTTTTTTATTTTTACTTCAAAACTCACCTACCCTTCCATACAGATGGAAATGGAGCGACAATAGCACAGGAAGATCTTGGTGATGGTTCTCTGAAGCAGACTATAACCTGCCCTGTTAATTCAGACCAAGCTAGATTTGAATTAGTTACCCGTGAGTATTATTACTAAACTTTTTACACAATTTGTTGAAAATAAGCATAATTACACATCCAATTAACGTTATCTTTAGAACCTTGCCTGTGTTTTATTATTGTGGTATCACTTTCCCTATTCATAACCAAAACTCAAGCTTTTTATATCATTTTCCAGCACCCGGCTCGGCTGCAGCAATAACTTGCACCAAGGAGACTGGAAAGTATGACAACTTTCTTGCCCGGTGCAAAGAAACAAACCCATTGTTAACTGGTACGGGAATACAGAAGATGGTTGTTGCAAACAGCGCAGAGCAGGTGCTTTTTTGTTTATTTGTTAATCTGTTTATATGCTTTATTTAGTATTTATTACATTCCATTTATTTGTAAAGTTTTCACAGGTAAGAAAAAGAGGCTTGTAATTAGGCCGCTTTTTCTATATATAACTATAAGCCGCTTTTTCGCCAAAAAAAGTTGTACTCGTTGTAGATGTACCTGTCACAACTTTAACAGTATATATTTCAGCCAGCGCCTTGCACTGCCGAAGCAACTGGTGAATATTCGATTGCAATAATGAAAGAAAAACTGAACTCACCGGACGATAATGTTTGTGGATTTAGACATCAAGTAACGTGTTTGGGTGACGGAAGTAAGTGTTTTATGTAGTTTTACGAGTTTATAAAATCATCGTGGTGACTGTTGACGATGATAATAAAACTGGTACATTCGCGTGTTTATGACGCATATATTCTCAAAACTTATTATCTAAAATGCACCATAAACTTGATAAAGTGCCAAGCGAAGGCACTCACGTGACTTTAAAGTTTAAGTGAACATCTATGAACCATCATTGTATCGCTTACTACAAAACACTCCTCTCACAGCGTGTACTCTGGATACAGACAAAACTGATTGTCGTTACGAGGACGGCAAGGTGATTACAGAGTACTTTGTTAACTTGACACCTGGTGTTTGGACTCCCGCTGAGAGATATCCTCTCATAGTAGTGAAAAATAAAATTCAGTTCTGGAGCTGTTCAAACATTTATAATAAAAGGTAGTCATTAAAAAGTTATTATTTATATTAAAATAGTTATTATATTTATATTTTATATAATGTACAGTCATTTTATTCAGTGAAGGGACCGTATTCTTTCTTAATATTAACCAGAATATTCTACGAGAGATATTGAAAGATATTAACTTTAGGAAATATTGAGAGATATTGAGAGATATTGAGAGATATGAAAGATATGGAAGATATGGAAGATATTTAGAGATTCAGAATCAGATATTGAGAAATTATACTCGTAATCGGTAAACATCTTAATTTTATGATATTTATCAGACGAAGACGAGGTGTTGATGATCCCGACTACGACTTTGAGCAAAGTAATGATAATTCATCCATAGCTACAGGTAATTGACTGAAATTGAGCTGGTAAAATCAAATTGCTTCCTTGCCAAATACAAAGTGAGACTTCTTATTTTACTGATTCCCCAGTCTTCCCCACTAACATATACCTTACTCGGGATTATTACGACGGGTTTATTAACGACCGGTTAAAATATGGTTCGGGAAAAATATGGCGAAATTGCTCAAAACCCACCACATTTTCCCGGTCGCCATTTTACCGGTGTCCAACCTTTCAATTTTAGATTCAAAAATTTTGTCTCAGATGTAAATTTCCTTATTAGAGATAAGCAGGTTCAGAAATTTTCGCATTGCTAAAACTTGTGAAACAAGTCGAATTATCAATAATTGTTGAAAGTAGACTCTAGCAAATTCGTTGTTTTGAATTAGCATTACATGTTTACGTGTATCAAATAACCATTATGACTCAATTTGTAGAAAATCTTCGAAAGAATGCATCGTTCACATTGTTTAGAATTATGAATAAATGACTGATGAAACTGATTCATGTTATTGACCGTTTTAATTAATTCGAGTTTTAATTTAACTGTTACTTTTACTTTGAGTCCTATTTCATTATGTAGAGATAGTCAATACCTAAGAAATTAAAAATTGGCCTATTTAAATCAACTTTGACAATAAGGATATATGACAAGAATTGGGCAAAAAGGTGAATTTTTTGCAATTTTAGCCAAATGAAGTCGAAAAACCTACAACAAGTGTCCCAATAGTCTTCTTTAGTGAATATAAGACAACCATTAAAATATGTGTACCCATACCCCTTGGGAACCCTAAAAGCTGAGTCGGCGGGTTTATTAACGACCGGTGAAAATGTGGTTCGGGAAAAATATGGCGAAATTACCCTAAACCCGCCACTTTATCCCGGTCATAATAATCCCGAGTAAGGTAATCGATAATGATAAGTGAGCTTAAAAGTCTCGGAATGAAACGCATATTCGGTAAAATACAGATTACAAGGTGGCCCTGAATTCATTACTTAATATGTACAATGTACATCAAAGATTAGACCAGATAGCTGATAGTGAAATTTGCACGACATCGTCCGTAGTTCTACAAGCTATCTGGTGCACAGACGTATGAACATGAATTCTGGGTCCCCTTGTTGTATAACGTGGTTAGTTCAGGTTGTGGTGTTGTGAAGGGACGGGTATTCTGATCAACTGGAGGAACTGAGGTCTGCCATACCTCAAATAACCTCAAATAACCTCGAATAACGTCAAATAGCCTCACATTTTGATAGATTTGTGTCCCTAAGAGATATTGCTGAATGACTTTCAAAAGTCTTGCAATACAAGGATGTACTTTATAGTAACGATTTATCCATTTCATAAATTCAGAAGTCACCATTAAACTTTAGAACTACCGGTAACTTTTTACAGAATGAAGTTTAGACAAATGTATAAAAAGTTATTCAAAAAATACATCCTTGCAAGACTTTTGAAACGCCCTGTAGTTACTCAGGTGGCACTGTTCATAAAGAAATGTACTGATAGATAGTTTTAAACGAATCTATGATAATTGCATCTATAAACTTTGTAGCTTTAAAAACAGCTCATTTTGAGAGCAGCAGAATCACGAAAAGATACGTTTTATTGTTCAAATACCAGGAGTACCAGTTGGTCGGTAAGAAATGCACGATCTCTTTTCTTCTTTTAGTTCAAGTTCTGAGAATTAATATCTTTCATGCATGTTTTACTTCTACATACAGTTCTTTTGGTGAATGACATTTCTGAAAGAAACGTTTGGCGGGTTTTTGTCTTGTTTCCTTCGCTGAAATACTTCATTATATAATAGATCACAACTAATATATTGCTGGTTTTTTACCTTGTCCTACTTTCATTTCTTCAGAGTAATAGAGTGCCTTATTGGTGATGACGTAAACTTTATTTGAATTTAGACGGCCATTCGTACACTCTTGCTGACTCTCTTTTTCATATTTGCATAGCTGCTTTGAATATTTGCCTAGTTTGTGGGTCATGTCTCCGTAGTGGAACATTATACTTATCTGCATGGTTTCAGAGCCTGTCTCACTTCTATCACTGCATCCATCGTATTTCCCAAACATAGACAGATGTTGTAACTAGTAAACTTGGGACCATATCGAGTCCTACAATACTGCACATGGAGACTGCAAGTTTCACCGCTCCATAATCAGATCACATCATCTGTACCCAGCTAGCGAGTGTAGCCAGTTACTTCAGCCCAGTTCCTCTAGTTACAGAATCCTCTCTTCATGATACCAACCCCTGATATCTGCTCTGTGGAACAAAACTAAAGGGAATTATTATTATTTAACCCAATTTGAGTAGCACTTGAGAGTGTATCCAGAATATTGAATTTTTCGTACTTATAACCACGTATGAGAATCTAAACCGAATTATTGAATTAAACTCTTCCGAAAATTAATCAACTGCTTGTGTAATGTGTCCAGGTAAAATAGAAATATCCATTATTTGGTTTATCAGGTCCTCCTACCTTCCTACTAAGCTAACTTCCTTGAGCGAATTAGCTATTGTTTGCCAAGGTTCTGGGGGTTTCAAATTGTATTATAAAATGATTACAATCTTACTCTATGCTTCTAAGCTACCTACAAACAATAACCCTTTATAAAATAATATTATAAACGATTTCTCCCATTTCAGTATCTCCACCAGAACCTTATGACACAGGTATGAATTTTTTTAAATCGTTCGGCTCAAAAAAAGGGCAGATAGCCAATGATAGTAATACTGCTACAAATGAAATTGAGAACAAACTAGGAGTACTGCTCAGTAAGTCAGTACTAGCTTAACAAACTTGATAGCTAAATGCATATCACAGAGCTGACACGTGACACGTAACACGAAAAACGTACCTACCTACCCCACCAATCCTAAATTCTCGCCACTTCTAACCATCTTTACGTTTTTGAAAAAAAAGGCCGATGGAAAAAATGTTCCACTATGAACGTCTTTTCCATGACTACTTTTTAGTTTCGGTCAATTTCAATTTCTATCATTGGACTAAATTAATAAATTATATGAACATTTTTTCCAATGACATTTTTCAAAAATTTCACAGTTATCTGCAGATCACGTCACCCAATCAGTGACGAATAATGGACATAATTGGATTGATAAGTAGGTAAGCTTATCGATCAGCTTACCTACTTATCAATCCAATTCTGTCAGTACACAACCGTAATGTCGTGAGACAATAAACAACATGCCTATCTATTCCCGATTCCTAAAAGAAGAAATATACAAGTACAATTATACTGGCAGCTGCACTGATTTAAGATTTCAGATGGCTGCATCAGGCATTTACTCTCATTGCAACTTCTTTTTCTTTCCTTCTTATTCAGGGATGTCAGTCGTCAGCACTTATTTCGTTTTGTAGGCTGCAGCACCGCCAGCAAGAGGAGAGGGCTGTTAATTTGTTTCCTTGTCCTACTTCACAGAGTAGATTTTGCCATCTGAATGCAGCAGTTGTGGAGTTATTCCCGTGCTTTCCAGGATTTGACCCCTTGCCCTTCAGTATTTCCCAAGGTTACAGCATCTCTAGTCTTATACTTCGTTCAGGGGATTTGACTCTGATACGAGAACCGCCTCTTTTGCGAGGGTTATGTGATAGAGTTAAAGTTGTTTCGTAAACTTTACTTTAGATCTAGCCCATTTAACCACTAAATATTCGTCACTGATTGGGTGTCACGATCTGATCAATGTGTGACCCCGGGTCTCAAGCGGTGTGTAATTGTAGTAGGTTGTTTACCAAGATTCGACATTGACGAAAAAGGTAATAGAATATTCTAATGACAACAACAGCATGGCGAACCTTATAGCAAGTTAGGAACGAGGGTGCGATTTCCTTTTCTTTTGCGGTATGACCACAGTCCTTTCGGTACAGATTTCACCATGGTTCTTAGTCAGGACGCAACACCAAGCATATGCAGTCGTGTTATTCTCGCAGCTCTAACGAGAGCCACTACCATTCACGCCATGGGTCGGAGTGAGTGATCGCTGCCCTTGGGTTTTGACTTTTGAGATCTTGACCCTGGATCTCATGGGACATAGTGGTCAGCCACCGCGGTTTGTGTGAAATTAAGACCTACGAGTGCGTGAGGTGTTCAGTGAACACCAACTGTTACGCTGTATTTCTTGATAGTGGAACCGCATGATACTGATAATTAATGACGTGGTTCAACTTCTGAGTGGGTCGTTGACCGAGTTCGTCAATTTTAAAATTTAAATCAACTTACAGGAGTAATAATCAAGATATGACATGTTTTTATACTAATATATTTTAAAGTTTGACAGGAATGCATTTTATCAATCAATTCTGTGGTCCTAGTTGGTGAGTGGGTCTCTAATGACCCATTTAATCAATTTTTTGCAGTTTAACTTTATGACGATAATCACTAGCTGAGAGGCGATTTTGCACTTTTGATGTCATATTGTAGACCGAATTCAAGAAGCTACATGCACATATTATGAAGTAATAAGCAGGTGAGCCGAGTGGGTCGTTAACGACCCAATTTCTGTATTTAAATAATAGCCGAAAAAACGTGATGGGTCGTTTACGACCCGGACGAGTGGGTCGTATGCGACCATAGCTGTTAAGCTGTATCTTTTAAAGTAAACGAGATACAGATTAGCTTTTTTGGATATCTCATTTTTGCTGTGAAGTGACCTAGTGTGTTAAATGGCATCAAAATTGACAAATTTTAAAACTCGTCGTCCCTAATGGGTTAATTCTTTCAACGTTCTCATCTAAAACGTTCTGATCTACACAATCACATCCTTTGAATAAAGCCTTGAAAATGCAAATTTAAGAAATTTTAAACTACTACTCCTACTACTACTACTACTACTACTATGTCGGAACTAAGTCCGATCTACGCCAGATAAACCCCTCCATATATCCCTGTTCGCATTGCATCTCCTCTTTAGAGTTTGTCCCAACTTCCTTCAGTAACATAGACAAGTAGCTTTGTCTTGGTCGGCCTTGCTGTGCTCTACCATATTGCATAGGTTCCCATAAGACTAAAATATTAATTGTGAAGCCCGATCAGTGTACAGCTATTAATTAAAAAACCTCGTCTGACGTTATGGAAGTTAAATTTGGCAATCAAATAAATAATCTCCCAGGTAACAGTATCTTGCTGATTGGATGGATTCTAGCTGCATTGTTCCTTACAAGCACGGTAATTCTCTCAATATCAGTTGCCTGGATATTACTAATAAAGAGAAAGAAAGAAAATGTTTACTCCGATCACGAATATGTGGAGAACATTGTTGTAATTCCTCCAGCCAGGTCTTCAGTTGCAATAGAGAATGACTCGTATATTTACAACAATAACGAACTTTACCGCCTTTAATTGTCTACAAATCAACATGAGATCATTCTTTATCTTGCCCCACAAAGTGAAATGACAATGGGGGTCACGACGTGATACATAAATATCCACATAACTATTTCTTATTCCTGTCATCTTTAACATCGAATTAGAATGTTTTGAGCTTAAATATACCTGCTGAACTACTTTCGATGAGTCTTAAAGGACCAGTTAACTCAAAAAAAAGTTATCCTCATATTTTGACAGATTATGATACATAGCAAACTGAGGAACGAGTCGAAATTCCTAAATCTCTAACTGCTTTAACTGGTCCTTTAATGCCTGAACAACAACAAAGGGGTATAATAGTATTGCGAATGTAAGGGCGATGGTCATGCTTGGCAGCATTGTGATACTACGCTACAATCAATGCTATTCGTAACTAATTATATCCGAGAGACCACATTTGAACCGTAATCAATAGTTTGATCCAGCAATTTACTACGCTACAATTAATGGCAAATTATGCTAGTCGTAACTAATTGCATCCAAGATACCATACATACCATTCCATTTCATAACATTTGCGGTCATATAATCTGGTAACACGAACACCTGTTCGGCGAACAGGGGTCGGGCTATCTAGATACTGCCGAATCTTGCATATTTATCCGATAGTCCCATGTTGTTGAAACTTCGATTGAAACGTGTGACCCTTAATTTTTAATTTTTTTCATTTGGATACTCAAAAAACACAATACAGGTAGTAAGGATATTAGAAGATTTTTCGAATATTATCTATGCCCACGAATAAATTATTTTGCACCTTTTCTAATTTCTAGTGATAGAGTTTCTAATTGTGTAACATATTCTCCAGCAGTGTAGTTCTACAGCTCTGAAGAAAATTTAAATTCCTAAAAGATACAAAATAAAAAAACAATGTTTGAAACGAACTGGTTACAACATAAGGCACGAAATAAAAAATATAAAATATATGTTTTTTTCAGCATTGATATGTAATTTCAGACTAATCCTCTGGTCAATTTCAATGTCTATAATCAGACTGAATTATGTCAACATTTTTACTGCTAAACAACTGCTTTTCTTGTTCACTGTACTAAAAATCGATCGAAAAATGATCTGCTAAAATTGGAAAAACGACCAGCGCTTTTATCTAAAATATTTAAACCTGGTTTGAATTTCTGATGATGATGTTTATCACTTTATCTTTCTAATTGCGGGAAGTTGTCATATAACCAGTTAGTTATAGTACCAGTAATTAACAAAACCTGGTAGTATTGCTCTAAGACCCATTTTTGTTTTACAAACAGTGTTTCTATATGGGACTTGGCAGCAAAACCCCAGACGAGGGAGCAGTAATCAAGGTGAGACTGCACAAAGCTGTGATATATTTGTAAACGTGCTTCCAGAGGCAAATATTTTTTAAGTTTGTACATGACTCCAATGTATCTGGCCATTTTCATTTTCATGGCAGAAATATGTTGCGACCAGTTCAGTTTGTTATCTATTATACCTCCTAAGAAACGGGCTGCTGTTTTTCTTTCGATTGTGACACCAGAAATTACTACATCGCGATAAATGAGGTTTCTTTGCCGAGAAAATATCATATAATTCGTTTTTTAAAGGTTTAGAGCTAAACCGTCGTTATTTACCCATTTAACTAAGACTTCGCTAAGAATTTTTAGCTTATCATAAACCTCGTTTATATTTTCTCCTGTTAGGAAAATGTTTGCATCATCTGCGTACATAATGAAATTAACTATTTCTGATATTTGAGGAAGATCGTTTATGTAGATTATAAAAAGGAGAGGTCCCAAAATTGAACCTTGGGGTACACCGTAAATAATGGGGTTGGCTGAGGATTCAGAGGATCCAATTGATACAAACTGGTTAACCTGTTCCTAAGATATGATTTAAACCAGTTTAAAGCTAGACCTCTTATGCCATAGTGCTCGAGCTTATTCAGGAGTATGGACGGGAGATTTATAGTTTATCTTATTGTAGGATGGTTGGTGTCGGACGACTTTGGGGACCGAACACAATTCATTCACGGCCTGCAAATTGTAACTAGTTTAGATTTATAATTTATTACATCTATAATCGCACTCTGTAAAAATATCTTTTGCTTGCTTTCGAGCCGATAACTAGCGTACTGATAACTAGCGTACTGATAACTAGCGTACTGATAACTAGCGTACTGATAACTAGCGTACTGATAACTAGCGTACTGATAACTAGCGTACTGGTAGTATGTCTAATGAGGTGAGGTTTATCGCATCTTTAGTGCCGAGTACTGCCATGTGCATGCCTTATACGTGTGATACTACTTAATCAATTGTGAATGAATGGAAAAAGCGATCGCTGCAAAATTTTAAATCTTTAATTCAATGTTAACATGGTTTTTTAGGCACTTGAATATGGCAATTTTGGGGCTTTTAACGGAATTTCGTATAACAGTGCGCTGACGCGTATCAGTATCACTATTATAAGGGACAGTTTTATAAAAATCTAAACAAGGCTATATTTGACACTCCTGTCAATTTTAACATAGACTTAGAATATTTTGAACTAAAAGGAAACTTACTGAACGACGTATGATGAGTCTAAATAAAAGAAGGAACAAAAATATTAAAGGGGGCATTATAAAAAACGGTCGTACTTGCAAACAACAACTCTCAAATATATAACACGGCGGTACTTATGACTTAAGAACATTTCAACTAAGATTTTTATTGACATTGCCACTTTCTACAAACAGGATGAAGGTTGTTGTTCTACTGTCCTGTTTTTCCCTTTCTGTGGCTCACAAATTTGATGTAATCGATGACTTTGGGCTGGGCCCCACGAAAAACCTCACCGAACCTCCACGCGGTGTGGGGTGGGTGGCTCGAACGGGAGGTGCATGGGTGTTTCTAACCTAAGAACCTATGCAAAGGAAGGGACTAGCCATCTCTAAAACAAGGAAAGGCTCTAATAGCCTCTACTAACCTTAGAACCGCAGCATAACCGCTTTTCCCACAGGCAAATAACACCGGGAAGTTGGTCGTTTAGCTCCGGACAGTCTATGCAACGTCTATGCAACGTCCGTGCAACAACAAAAGAACCGTCTATGCAACGTCTATGCAACGTCCCTGCACAATGAACACTCTATGCACACTCCCTGCACGGTCAGTCTATGCAACGTCTATGCAACGTCTATGCAACGTCCCTGCACAGTACCATATGAACACCGGCTACTAGCCGGTTACTAGCCGGCTAGTAGCCGGTGTTCATATGGTACTGTGCAGGGACGTTGCATAGACGTTGCATAGACGTTGCATAGACGTTGCATAGACGTTGCATAGACGTTGCATAAACTGACCGTGCAGGGAGTGTGCATAGAGTGTTCATTGTGCAGGGACGTTGCATAGACGTTGCATAGACGGTTCTTTTGTTGTTGCATGGACGTTGCATAGACGTTGCATAGACTGTCCGGAGCTAAACGACCAAGTTGCCATAACGGGAAGTTGGTCGTTTAGCTCCGGACAGTCTATGCAACGTCTATGCAACGTCCTAAACGACCAAGTTGCCATAACACCTTCCGCAGGAAACTAACACGCTCACAGGCTCCCACATGACGTGTAACCCCAGGATTTGGTTTTGGATCGGACACTGAAAACA